GGGAAAGGAAGTCCCCAAAAGAACAAGATGGCACAAGTTTTTCAAAGTTTAATGAGATCCAAATGTCAACGAAAATTTCCCATAAGAATTATTCATTACAATTATCAGCTCTTGCTGGCGTACAAATAAGTTAAAGAGGAAATTAACTAAAGTAGATTTTAATCACTTAAATGACTTTTTTTTTCTTCAACAGGTGATTTGTTTTACCAAATGCAAATCCTGCCAAGAGAATTAGATAAATAAGCAACCTATAATTGAATAGTTCTTATCTAGTCTTCCTTGGAGTTAGCTGAATTGGATTCATGGTTTCTGTCCCATTAGCTATGAAAAAAGTTAACATTTCAACTAACAAATATCTTATAGCAAAAAAAAAAAAAAGGAGCTAACAGTGACATTTTTTCTTTTCTTCTACCATTACCATGTTCAGCTACTTGCAACTGAACTGGTAATACCAAAAGCATATAGATTGCTCAAAAACAGGGACCCTAGCTCTGCAAGATATTTCATGATTTTAAAAATCAATGTGATATAGTTTGTTGGGTATTTATATATTATTCATTGTTTTACCTATGGCACATAGAGATTTCATCAACCCTACACTTGTTCAATAATTACAAATGAAACAACTTTCTTCTTTAAAAAAAAATCTGATGATGGGTTTCTTTGGAACTTAGAGGAAAGCAAGGTTAAACAAAGAATTGGGTGAGAGGTTAAAATTTCCAGTGAGCTTAATTCAGATAAACCCTGGACCCTGTAATTATAATCATGAGTTCTGAAATAAAACTCCTTATTGGTAAAGTATGAAAAGAAATATACCTGTACCACTTGACTCCTGTTCATCCTACTAATTTAACATATATGATCAAATGCTTCCTAGGGAACAGCCACCATGTTAGGCACTGAGGATATGGTAATGAATAAAACAAACATGGTTCCTCCTCTTAAGGATGCTTACAGTGCTTGAATTAAAGATACACAAATATAAGTACAGTTGACCCTTGGGGGTTAAGGGTCCCAACCCCATCCCTGCAGTCAAAAATTCATGTGTAACTTTGGACTCCCCCAAAACTTGACTACCCTTGGTATCCATAGGGAATTGGTTCCTTGTGGAGAGAAAAATCTGTAGATGCTCAAGTTCCCTGTATAAAATGACATAAATCAATGCATACAGTCAGTGCTCCAGTTCTGTGGACTTCCAATCATGGATCAAAAATAGTACAGGTATTTATCCAAAAAGTTTCATCTATACATGGACCTGCACAGCTCAAACCTGTGTTGGTCAATGATCAGCTGTATGATCATCCACAAATCTGCAAAACTGTGTTTCCTAGACAGGAGTCCATGAAATACTATCTGTCCAGAGTTCTCCAGCTTTCGGAAACTATTTGGGGCCAATTCCATTCTCTCCTTGGAATTTTCACTTCCTTGAAAGGTCACAGAAAACCAGCCAAAAATTGTACCTCAAATTACTAGGGCTGGGATAGGTAAAGAGCATCCAAGATTGAACAGATTCTAAGAGCTCCCAGAGAATATCGGTGAGCTTAATCTCAGCTCTCCCCAGGACCAGGTCCAAGTCAAAGTCATGTTCTGAAGTCTCTTCTGCACACAATACAGCACCATCTAAAGAAAAGGAAGCAACAGGGATCATAAAAATATCCCATGTTTGGTGGCAGAAATCCTTCATTGTGAATGACAAAAAACAACAACAAAAAAAAAACACAAAAAAAATCAAATTGATTCAAACAATAATCGGAATTCACAGGTTTTAGGCACTCCTCTCAGGATCCAGTTGATCTTCAGGATTGCTTTTCTCATGAATGTAAGAGCACTACTGCTAGCAGAAAGTAAAGCTACAGTTCTTTGTCAAACATGTCCAGTGTGGGAGATGATACAAAAACCCTAAACTTTACTCTTATTGGATTACTCATGAGTAATCAGTATAGTCAAAGGAATCTTAGTTTCTGCCAGGTCTTGACCACTTTTTTGTGGCAAGGGAACCCAGATAACCCTGATTGGCTTTGGCTATTCACAATCCAGTGCACAAGACATGGATCATGGAGGTCACAAAATGGGATAAGGTGGAATGCATAGCAGAGAAACAACTAGAATATTCGTTTTGTATAGTTTTATTTTAATTGATTGTCTATCTCTAGTAATATTTTTCTCCCAACAGGCGCAATGTCCAGCAAACAAAGCCTAGACTTGTTGACTCCCAACCCATAAAAGAAGTGCAACAGTATTCCCAAATTCTTTCCCCAGCTAGATCAACAATAATGTATAAACTTATGTGCTGCTCTCATAAAGTTTTATCAGCTACAGCGAAAGAACCTGGATAACATCCCAGCTAATCTCTCAGCAGCAGCTGGGGAAAGCATCAAAAAATTACTTTTTCAATTGTCTGTCTAAGTATTGTCTGCACTTAATCTGCAGATATCCAACTGTGAACACTAGGGAACTTCACTCAAACAAAGCAACTCCCAGAGAACCCTGGGCACACTGCCCCATGTGACCACCCCCTAGGAATGTAAATTAAGAATTCCATATTCATAGTAGGTTTTGTTAGGAAATGTTCTTAAACCCAGCAGAGCAGCCTGATTTCTCTGCTAATTTCTCTGATTCCCAAATGCTAGGGAGGTTTTCTGGCAGAACCTATTGTATGCAAAATGGTTTTACAATTCTTACTAAATAAACCTATCTGTTCTTTTCCATTTGAGTTCCCTATAGGAACCAATGGCTTTAACCATTAGCACATTGATCTCTATGGGCAATATGCTTTGCTTCTCCAACTTGCCTTTCAGTTCCCAAGCATAACGTGGTGAGTAAAGAATATGTGCTCTATGGTCTGAGCCTTGTTTGTGAAACAAGTCTCCACCACTAGCTGTGAAACCTACATTATACCAACTTCTGTTAAAGGATAAATTTAAAAAAAAAAAAAAAGATAAAATCATGACTTACATACAAGTGAGTATAAAATGAACATATGTCAAAGATTTTATGTAATGCATTAATTAATTAATGATGAAACCAGTAAGATGTTACGACCAGTCCAAAGAATAATTCAAAGAACTTCACCTATGGAGACAATAAGGAATGCTGAACTTAATTTATAAACAGAAGCAAAAAGGTCTATCATCAAGGAAATAACCAGTTACATTTTGGACACAGTTTATTTGCATTTCTAAGGAAAAGAATCATGATTATTATCAGTCTTCTGATGCTTATAAAGCTGTAAATTAGCTCAAAGACAGTGAAAGACATAGATAGCTCTGAAGACTACATTAACAGGGCATTTGTAGAGTGGGGAGTTTGACCATTTCAGTCTCCCACTATGTTTTGAGTTGTTGTTTTTTTTCTGAAAATGTCTGTCAAGTAAAATATCCATCAAAAGAACGGGAAGACAAGCCACAGACTGGGGAAAAAAATATTTTCAAGAGAAATATTATCTAAAATATACAAAGAACTTTCAAACAAACAACCTGATTAAAATATGGGCCAAACACCTCAACAGACACCTCTCCAATGAAGATATACAGGTGGCAAATAAGCATTTGAAAAAATGCTTCACATATATCATCAGGGAAATGCAAATTAAAACAACAATGAGATACCAGTACGTTACCTACTAAAATGGCCAAAATCTAAAACATGGACAACACCAAATGCTGACAAGGATGGGGAGCAGTAGGAATTTTCATTTATTGCTGGTGGGAATTAAAATGGTACAGCCACTTTGGAAAACATTTTGGCAGTTTCTTACAAAATTAAACATACCCTTATTGGACGACCTCGCAATCATGCTCCTTGGTATTTACCCAAAGGAGTTGAAAACTTACATTTTATGACCATGATAACTACAAGTATCTCAAAGGTCTGGCAGAAGAGGGCTTTTCTTTTATAGGAAGGAGTAAATATTGCTAAAAAGAACCAGATGTGGAAAGGGGAGATGACTGGGAAGCCTGATTGGACAATGGGTCATGGAATGGTTTTCCCTCAGGACAGCTGATTCTGGGGAATGTTCACTAAGGAGGGGTTAGTCTACATTCCAATGCTCTAGGGTGGGCCAAAATTTAGGAGCCTGGGGGAAGGAGACAGCCCTGACTAAAGTTTAGTCAAGTTAATGAGCATTTTCTTCAGATTGGTCAAAGGGGACAAATATTTCAGCTAATCATTTATGAGATAAAGAATAAGGATTTCACCCAGCCGGCATGGCTCAGTGGTTGAGCATCCGACCCAGGAACCAAGAGGTGGTGGGTTCAATTCCCCGTCAGGGCACATGCCTGGGTTGCAGGCTCAATCACCAGTGGGGGTAAGTGCAGGAGGCAGCTGATTGATGATGTTTCTCTCTCATCGGTGTTTCTATCTTTCTATTTCTCTCCCTTCCTCTCTCTCTAAATATCAATAAAAACATATTTTAAAAAAAGAATAAGGATTTCAAGGTTTTGTGTCTGCCTTAGGTAAACAAAGGGTTCATCCTTGAGTCTCATCTAAGTAACGTTGGGAAGGCTGGTTCTTGCAGTTAAGTCATTTCCCAGAACATAGAAGTGTAGGAGGATTTCTTAGCCACACTGTTTTTAGAGGAGCACAGGCTGAAGATGAGTATCACTTACAGATGAATAAACCTCCTACGTGGGTGAAACAGGGTCTAAGCAATAGCCTCCTGTTTATATTATTCTTGAAAAAAATAGAGCAACCATCTACATATTGAGAGGTGGTGACAAAGGTCCATTGTTTTAGGGTCCTACTTTGTAGGCATCTTAAAAGTGTGATGCCTAGAGCCATGACCAGGTGGCTCAGTTGGTTGAAGCATCAACCTGTACACCAAAAGGTTATAGGTCGATTCCTGGTCAGGGTACATACCTAGGCGGCAGGTTTGATCCCTGGCCAGGGCAGGTACAGGAGGCAACCAATTGATGTTTCTCTCTCAGACGGATGTTGCTCTCTCTTTCTCCATCCCCCCTTCCTCTCTCTAAAATAAATAAAAAACATATCCTTGGGTGAGGATTTTTTAAAAAGTCATGCCTAGAAAGAGAAATATTATATAAAAGGTTAGAGTAAAGAAGAGCTAACCCCTGAGGACATCTAACCCAGTAGATTCCAAGAGGTTGATAAATAGAAATATTTCAATTTTGTAACACTGCTTGTTGAGTTTCTTGAAGCTAAGATTTCTGTGCTCTTGATAATGGTGTCCACAGTCTTGGTTACTTTGAATATCTAAAATAGACAAAGAACATGTATTTGGCCAGACTTCCTTAGTGACCCAGACAGTGACTCATCCATGGAGAAATCCAGTCCATTCAAGGTATATGTCAAGTCATCAGGCTTTAGCTCACAGTCTACAAATCTCTTTATTCAATATGTTCTAAGCATCTCCTCATTTCCACCAATAGTCCCTGAGAACATACTCTTAAAGTTATAGCATAAGATATATTCCCTCTATGTTCTTTTTCTATTAACCTCTGACTCTCGGATTAAGAATTATGTGCTAGTGGGTGAAACATTAAATTGGCAAGCTCATATAGCAGAGCCCCAAATAAATCTTCATTTGAGACAAAGAAGTGTCCAAACAAATGCCATGGTAAAGAGGACCAGATGAGAAAACTAATAGAGAGAAAATTGGCTACTGAAAATAATGAGGGAAGCATTCATGATTTCAAATTGAAGGACTGATGTCCTCCTACTCTAAAGGTGAACTTGAAAATCAGAGTGGTCCTTCTTCCACTACTACTCTAAAATTTACACTATTATAGTTAGCTAATACCAATATTTTTCTCATGCCTCTGGCTCTACACAGGCTATTCTTCTGTTTGTGATATCCTCCCTCCTCATTCATCTGGCAAACTCCTTTTCATCAGGTGTCAGTTCAAGCCTTCTGCATGAAGCTTTCCTGATTCCCCTAGCCCAGTGATGGCGAACCTATGACACACGTGTCAGAGGTGACACGCAAACTCATTTTTTTGGTTGATTTTTCTTTGTTAAATGGCATTTAAATATATAAAATAAATATCAAAAATATAAGTCTTTGTTTTACTATGGTTGCAAATATCAAAAAATTTCTATATGTGACACGGCACCAGAGTTAAGTTAGGGTTTTCCAAAATGCTGACA